TGCTGAAGGGCTCAATGCCCTCGTGGACCCGGGCAGCACACGCAGCTCCTTGAGCTTGGCCTCTAACGTGATTTCTTCAGGGCTTACCTGTCACTTGTCAAAACAGCCCCAAGTCTGCCCAAGTCTTTCTAGAATAAAGCTAAACTAATTTTAGGGAGCTTAACTTATGAGTCAGACTCCAGGTCTGATGTGGTTTGATCTGCACGCTTTGATGCATTGAACATAGTGGGCATAGAGTTGTTTGCCACCCACGGAAGACAGGTTATTCCCATCACAGGCCCGTGATGCTGCTCTACTATATGCTGGCTCCTTTTGGGATAAGGCTTAAAAGCTGAGCCCTGTTTTTTATTCGTTTAAAGATGTCCTTAACTAGAGCTCTAGCTTTAAATAAATGATTAAACGGAGTAGATAAGTGATCATACGTTAACTCGTACATTCATACATATGACTCCTTGGTCTGTGGGTGTTGAGCAATATAAAATTATTAGGGGTGACACAAACAGTTAATTGCAGTTACAATTACGTGGTGATATAAAATCATCTGAACTGTTTGACGAGGTTGGCTCTTGCCTACTTCTAGTGTTATTTTTATTATTTCCCTCCCATTTTAGTATGGAAAATGATAGCAGATTTGTTGGCGTTTTCCCTCACTGTTGATCTAGCATTATCGTGTTTAGTTTTATAAATATATTTTCGTTAACATCCAAAAAGGCCTTCGGAAAGCAAAGCAAATGAAAACTATTCATCTTAAAGCTGCTTTTGGAAGGCTCCTTTTGCTGCATGCCCCTCCATGGCAGACACTTCAGCCCCAGGCATGCTGCAGAGTAGGCTCATGTGTAGTTTACAGGGTTTTGTGCCATCGCTCACTTTTTCTAGTGGCAAAGCCAGTCTGAGAGCACTCATTGGCAGCACCGCTAATTTGGTGGGTTTTGCTTCCAACAGAAGGAGCCTTAAAATTGTCGTCGCCTTTTGGCAGTTGCATCGTTTCAGTGGCACAGCGACTGCACTGGGGTCGGGAAGGAGGGCCCGGCTGTGCAGGGACGTGGGATAGGATTCCCGCAGGGAAGGAGGATGCAGCCAGGGGAGCCACAGCCGCGGCGGTTCCTCCCGCGGACGTTGCTTCGGAGCACGGGTCTCGTCCGAGCCGACGTGTCGCATCCCAGCTTGAGGGGTGGGGAGCAAAGAAAGCCACGGGGGGAAGCTCTTAGTAGAGGCTCATGCTCCTACATGGTGCTGGGTGCCACTTTGACACAACTTAGCCAGAGATTAGTCCTGCTCATGCAGATGGGCTGCAGGGCGACCCGGCCAGGGCCGGATCGTTCCCGCTGCCACCCCGGCAGACGTTCAGAGAGGAGGGTCCCTGCACCGGGATGCGGGCGCTGCAGGCCCTGGACGTGTCCTGTTTGTGGAAGGAAGAGCCTCAACCTCCAGTTGGACCCTTATCCTAAGCTCCTGACTGAGGGACTGAGCGGGAAAGTTCCCTCAGAAGTGTGGCTAATTGGATTCCTGCTTGTTTTTCCCTTTGGCTCTCAAATACTGGTGGAGGTTTGATGTGAGATAGAGAAATCCCAGATTTACCTCTTCCTCTGTGAAGTGCAGGACGTATTTTCAGCTGCTCCTTGCTGGCTCGAGGCTGACTCGAAACGGCGGGACTCGATCCCTCTCTATCGTCCTCCTTAAAAGGTCCCTGTGAGAGGGCTTGCTCTTCCTTTTGCTTTTCCAAGGAAAACCGTGTTTGAGGAGAAGGATTAAGACATGAAATATTCATACATCGTTGGAGGAAACGTTATCTGTAGATTATAGTGCTCAGCTGTTTCTTCCTTGTCTGTCTCGTTCCCAGTCGTGCCAAGCTGACCTCGTGAAGGACAACGGCCACAAGTATTTCCTCTCTGTGTTGGCAGACCCTTACATGCCGGTAAGGACGCGTCATCTTTCAGGCTCCTAACGCTTGCCTGGTGGGTGTTGAGGTATATGCTGCTGTTTGGATGCCACAGCACGTTGTGAAGCTAAAATGTCCCCATAGGGGACACAGCCAAGGCCAGGGGTGCTGCAGAGCAGGCCTGGGAGCTGCTCCCATAAACGGACGCAGAGGAGGCCACGTTTCAGTGCAGCTTTCTCATTCCCAAACCGAACCTGTGCTTAGCGAGGGGATTGCGTGATGAGAAGATTCTTTCTTTCCCTTCTCTCGTGCTTTTAATACACGTTCAGAACTCTTATTCCAGAGCGCGCGGAATCCAGTTTTTCTCTGATTTGCGAGGTAACAGGTGGCTGTGTATTGTTTTAAGGCTGAACACAGGACAATGACGGCCTTTATCCTGGCTGTGATCGTCAACAACTACAACACAGGCCAGGTGAGTCCCGGCGATTTCCCCTTCCCTTCTCCCTGCCAGCCCGTCCTGCCCTGGGCCTTTCCCTGGAGCGTGCCTGGCTGGCGCCGAAGCGCAGGTTGGAATGGGAATATTGCTTTATGTTATTTCTTTGGGGATTGAAAGGAACAGTTGTCCGGGAGGTGTGACAAGCACATCGTGTCCACGGCCCTTGGAAGTGGAGGCTGGAGACGCGCGTCACGCGGGAGCTGCCCCTGGGGCGCTGCTGTGACACACGGTGAAAGAAATAGCGCCTAGTTCTTGTCAAGTGGAAACTTGATGGCCGTGATAAAGGTTTGGGAAGGGTATAAAGCCAGGCAGACAGAATGAGCCATAAACCTTGGGGCTCAGCCAGGTGCAAGGAATATTTCCAGTGAGGGAGAAACAGGCTTTCTGCACTACAGAAAGCATTTCTAATGCCGAGCTGTGTGACTAGCTATAACAGCAGATCGTTCATGCTGCTTTCAAATGCTGTTTTGCAACAAAATAACTGCATAACTGCAGAGTAATTACTTTCTTTTGCTTTCCTGTCTATTTCAAAATAATCTCTTTTTTTCTTCTCTGATGAGGTGGGAAGTTGTTACCCAGGATAAATTGCCTTGACTTGTGTTTTAGGAAGCCTGCCTCCAGGGAAACCTGATCGCTATCTGCCTGGAGCAGCTCAACGACCCTCATCCCCTCCTGCGCCAGTGGGTGGCCATTTGCCTGGGCCGCATTTGGCAGAACTTCGACTCGGCCAGGTGGTGCGGGGTGAGGGACAGTGCCCATGAAAAGCTCTACAGTCTCCTCTCCGATCCGATCCCAGAGGTAAAAATCCAAATTTTTTGTGCACCAATGCCAGATGAGTTGTCATGATGGTAAAAGGACTTTTAAAACCAGGGCTTCCAAAATCTGTATGATTATATACCCGTTTCAGAAAGATCTTGGCACTGTATCTTCAAGATAACACAAGTCATACAGCCCTGTGCAAGAAGTAACCAGAGAAATGCAGGGGGAATTTGTGCTGCCCCAACGATGGGGAAATCCTGGAGCTGGGAAATGCCATGTCCTGGTCACAGCTGCACCAGAAGCTTTGTAAAAATGTGCTCCCACAACTCGCTGTATTTCAGAAAATCCTCTAACCTTTTTATCTGAGTATAAAAACTATTCTCCTCCGGGCATATGTGAAAATACATCTTTAATTGAATGTGTTTCACCTGTGTGACAATTTCTCGGAGAAGAGATCCTTGTGCAGAGCAGGGCTGTGACTGACAGTCCCTGTCAGGCTCTGCTGAAATTATATCGCATTAAGGAGAAGTAAGCCTGGGAATAAATGCCATTGCCCACATGCAGTGCTTAAACATTATTATTATTAATTATTATTATTATTATTACTACCTTTTTACAATGATTTAGTTTTCATGTCCTGATATCTTACTGCAGTTCTGCTCCTACTGAGGGCTGTGGTTAGTGCTCTAATAGGAGAGGTGCATCCCAACAGGAACTGCCTCTGCGCTGCCTTTCTGCTAATCAATATTCCGGGCAGTGCCAGCTGCAAACATCGCCCATGGGAAGGTCACCGCGTGTTCTGGGAGAGCGAATTCCTTTGTGCACCCATTAGTACTTGAAACTTGGTGCTCTTCTAAGTCTGCTTTTGTTCTTGTTCTCTGTGGGCTTCCGTTCAGTCCCCACTATTTACCTGATGCAACCCAAGTTTCCAGAGATGCCAGCGGTGGGGATAAGGGATAAAACAATCCCGTGGTGGAGGCGAAGGGCGAGCCCTGAGGAGTGTCTGTCTCTGCCAGGTTCGCTGCGCCGCAGTCTTTGCGCTGGGGACGTTCGTGGGCAACTCTGCGGAGCGGACGGATCACTCCACCACCATCGACCACAACGTGGCCATGATGCTGGCCCAGCTCATCAACGACGGGAGCCCCATGGTCAGGAAGGTGCGGGAGGCTCCGCGTTCCGGCCGTGTCCCTGTCTGCCCTCACTGGGAACACTGGGGTTCTTCTCCTCAGAGGCCTCTGGTCCTAGAGGAGGTGGTGTTACCACATGAGGGACACAGGCTGCAAAGACCATACATTTTTAAACTGAAATTTTTTAGGGCCTATCAGCCTTTATAATTTTAAACTTAACATAATACACTGCTCAGCTCCATTGGTTTGACATGAACCTTCCTAAAACAGCGTGTTCTTTTGGATGATTAGATATGTGATATCACCTCTCTGTCTTTCAGTGTTATTTATATGAATTTCTGTGGTAGTAATCATCATAAAAAATGAGCTGTTCAGCTATAAAGAGAATCTTGGAAATACAGAGGAACAAAGTAATCCTTCTTGCCTCTAATAGAAAGTATCCGACTGGAAGTTACCACCCTCCTGCCCCAATCCTTTCAAGCGAGAGCAGGTCACATCCTCTGCCATGCAACGTCTTCTGCCAAAGGAGACAGTTGCTGTAGAATTTCTCAAATAAGAAATGAGCAAGTTGGAGCTGCTCCGTTTAAGCCGTTTCCCGTGTAAATCCCATCGGACAAACACCTCATTTCTCTCTTTTGCCCTTTCTGTAGGAGCTGGTGGTGGCTTTGAGTCACCTGGTGGTTCAGTACGAGAGCAACTTCTGCACCGTCGCCTTGCAGTTCATGGAAGAAGAGAAGAATTACCCTCTCCCTTCCCCTGCCACCACAGGTTGGTGCTCTGCATTGTTTCCTTTGGGGCAGGGAACTTGGAGCCTGATAATCCTGGAGAACTTTAATGATGAAGTTTGCCCAACACAGTAAAGCTTTTCCTCTAATCATTTGTCAGCCAGCACCATTGCTACAAGTTTAGTGAAATGGTGCATAGCTGTGATGTCTATTTAGCACTGCAGTGTATTTTGCTGCAAAAATATATCCCAAGATGAGCTCTAAGAGGCAGATGTAGAGCTGTAGAGCCCAGTGGAGAGACTGACACCCTGCCAAGCTCGGAAGGGGTTCCCTTCAGATGGAGATTGAAGTGTGTTTGTCCAGGCAGTAAGGAAGGTCCACAGACGGCACATTTTTTTTCTGAAGTTTCATCAGCATCTTTAACATCTGAAACTGCAGCAGTTTCTTGCTTAATGAGGCTGGAAAGCCCTGCCATGGGGCAATAAACCATGCCCTTTGCTACTGTAAAGCAGCAGGTGAGAAAAGGTGAAGAACCTTACGCTCTGTGCCTGCCTTCCCATCCGTTTGTGTGTGTTGCTTTTTGTGGGGAATTTATTGTTAACCTCACACTCCCTTTAGACACTGAGCACACTGGAAATCATCAAGGATAATGAGACTTTTGCAACAGAATCTTGGAGGCAAGAGCATGTATTATCTCTGCAATAAGCAATTTAATCTCTTCATTGTCTGAATAAATGAATCATATTAGAAAATAAGCTTCTCCACATTTGTCTTTTTTGCTGCAGAAAATGCTCATTACTTGCAGTTTATGTAGTGCTTTTCATTATTCAAAAATGTCCCGAAGTAATTTATAAATAGGATGCACTGGAAGCGCTGCTCCCACCACCATCATGCAGCCACCTCTGCAGAGGAACAGAATAGCTGTTCTGCAGCCGTGCTACTGTGGGCGCATTCAGGAATGAAAATGAAGAATAGGTTGTCTGGATGAGATTATAGGTATCCAGGTCGTGAGTAAAATATGACTCGAAACCAAGCCTGAAATTTGACTGGGAAGCAAGTATTTTATTAATTCTTCATGATGGAAAAATGATCAGATTTTTAATGAGCAGAAGCAGACGGAAGCCTGCACTTAAATGCCATCTACTAAAAGGCATCTGCTCTAGCAGTGTGTCCTAGCACAGTATCTGGGCAGTGTCCCAGCACCAACCTGCAAAGAACGAGTCATCCTGTCCCTGCCGGTAGTCTGCAGGCTCTGGCAAGGCTTCGCTCTCCTGCTTTCGTTGGAGGTAACAAATCACATCCGAAACAGTAAGGAAGCACAGTCCTTGTTGATAATGTGCAGAGAGGATCCTTCGTTGTTCCTCATCCTGTCTGAGGATAACAGTGCGCTCAGTCAGCTCTTACGGGAACATCCGAGCGGTCACCACAGCCAGGAACCTGAACAAATCCCTGCAGAACCTCAGCCTCAATGAAGAATGTAAGAGACACCTAAATTCTTTAATGTTGCTTTACCACTTCTTTTCCTCCTCTCTTGCAAGTTAGGAAATATCACCTGCAAAAAAACAAGATCCAAAACTAACAATTTACCCCAGATTATCCAGCTGCTAGCTCCGGGGAGTTGGATGAGAAGCCTCATTCCTAATTAGTTTCAATTTTCTGGTCATTAGTATTGATTTTATAAGTGTTTGTAGGCCAAGGAACGCTCGTTCTACTTGCTGACTTGTATGGATTTTTAACTGTCTGAATCATTGTTGATGCTTTGACACTCAATCTGTATTTAAACACTCGGTGTTTTAAAGGTGACATTGTGGATTTGCCTACACCTTCTCTGGGTGTTGTAGGATTTTTTTAAAGTTGTTCTCTCACCAGGGCTTGTTTCAGCACCTGCCTTCTTTCCTTTTGGCAGCTGGAAGTTCTGTTGCGTTTTCTCCTGGGAATCTCAGCACCAGCAGCAGCGCCAGCAGCACCTTGGGTAGCCCTGAGAATGAGGAGTATATCCTGTCGTTCGAGACCATCGACAAGATGAGACGAGTCAGCTCTTACTCTTCTCTGAATTCCCTGATAGGTGAGGAAAGGTTCTCTTGCCCTTCCTTTGTTTTCTCTTTTCTTTGCATGCTCCTTGCACCAGCTTTTGTGGAAGCACTGATTTATAGCTCCTGCTAGATCTCACTCCAACAAAAGTTCCTACAATAGTAGAAAAGCAGCTCTGGAGTCTGTGGAGGCAGGAAGGAGAGTGGGAAATTTAATTTTCAAGCCTCACTGGTGGAGAGGCTGGAAATGAGAGAGCTGCTGGGTGTCAGTCATCTGCTTTACCAGGATGGACCGCAGCCCTGCTAGAGGTTTGGGCGCAGAAATGCCGGTGCAGGAATGTTGCATCCGCTGAACTCCGCTGGCCAGGGAAGCGAGCGAGGGCTCCGTGTCCCACAGCAGAGCAGAGCAGTGGGGCTCCCTGGCACTCGTGCCTGCCCTGTGCTGTGTTTCCTGCAGGCTGTAGTTCCACACAGCACACGCATCTCTTGGCCCCTCATACGAGGGAGCCTTATCGAGCTGCTTTCCAATGCAGGTCTGCGTGTGAATTGTTAGAATGAGACTTATAAAAGAAGAAATCTCGGGGTCTTAAGCGCAAACACACTGGGGATCTCACAGAAATCTACCTCTGGGCAAAACATTCCATGGCCAATCCTGCTGCTTCCAATCCTTTCCCGTTATTTCCTCACAGATAACTTGTAGCATCGAGTAAGCTTTTTAACACCACTCAAGTTGTTTCCTATGCTGGCGTCTGGCTTTCTGGCAAACGCACAGAACACTGCAGAGTGAAGGGCTAGAGCACAGAGGAAGGGAAATTTGAGTTGCATTATGCAGTGCATGGCTGATTTTCTGGTAATGGATGATTTTTGTTTCTTTTATAGAACAAAGCTGGAAAGTTTGCATGGAACTAGTTCAGCACAGTTATTTCTACAATAACTTTGCTAGACCTGCCTGATTGTCACACCAGCATTGCTTTGAACTAGCTGTAGTTTTCCAAGCTCAAATTCCTCTTGAGATGATAGTGGATGCGGCATGCAGGAGCTGTTTTTTTGGAATGATCTCATGCTCCATGGAGCAGAGCAGGAAGCATTCACCAGAGAACTGTTGGGAGGAACCTATCAGTTTTCTTAGTAATTAGTGAATGCTCATAATTTTCTAGCCCTCAAAAATCAGCAGAAACCTTATATATAGCCCTACACAGAGTCAAAAGGTTCTAGGATCGTACGACCAAAAAAGATGCAGCTGGTATCATTATTGACTATTAACTGAGGCCAAATTCCCTGGGGAAGTTGAAAATCAAGTAGTCATTAGAAACTTGATCAAATCATTTGGTTTTGATGGTAGATAATGAAATCAGATTTTCTAAAGCATGAGAGGCATTTTTGGAATTTCTCTCCCTCTCCTAAACTGGAACTTGTGTTTTCCTCACTTACCCTGGTGCAAACTGATCCACGCTTGATGGTTTGTGTATGTCTCACAGGAGCTTTGCAGCACAGTTGAAAGAGAGTCTAGAGATCAGCCCGAGATGACTGACGGGAACTTAGGAAAACAAAAAGAGCAGTTCTCCGAAGCCTCCCTCATTCCTATTCAATTGGAAGAGCTCATATCCAGCTGGAAACGACAGAGCTTATAGAAGTGTTTAAAATTCATAACTCACACAGAATCCCATTACCTTCAGCATTTGCCTGCTTAAAGCCAGGGCTTTTTTTCGTCTCTACTGAAGAATCACAGTCTTCCAACCCGCTCTGGGCTGGTCCCAAAGGGAAGAGTTTGCAAAATCCCATCAGCTCCTGCCACCCTTTGGTCGCTGCGCAGACCTCCTGCTGCTGGGGACAGGGACGTGGCTCTGCAGTGACACTCGTGCCAAGGATTTGGGCACAGGAAGCAGGAAAAGGGCTGTGCTGAGGACACGGGCAGGCTCAAGGCAAAGCGAAATCTAGTCTGCATTACTGAAAATCGAAGTTTTTAAGCACGATTTGAGGCTGCGGTCCCCTCTGCCATCTCAAAGGTGCCCCAGTCATGGGGGACTTCCCTTTCCTCATGCAATTCGGGAGCCTTGTGCCAGGGGGACAGTCTGGGCTGGTCTGGCCACTTCTTGCCTTGCTCGGAGGGTCCATTTCAAAGCTCCAAGAAAATCCTTCACTCCCTCTTCTCCCATTTGCAAAGAGCATCCTAGTTAGCAAAAGGCAAGATGTCCCCACATGGTGCCCCAAAAAGCAACGTGTGGCCAAGGGGGCTCTTTTCCAGCTGCCGGCTCCTCGTGCAGCAGCCCGGAGCCAGGTTCCCGTCTGGCCTGTGCATTTCCACGCTGCTCCGTCAGCAAAGACCTCGCTCTGCATGGCAGGGTGAGCCCGGGCTCTTTCCATACTGCTAGTCATTAATCTTCGTGTTCCCCGTGTTTTTTTTTTATTATTATTGTTATTGTTTTGTTTTGAGGTAGGAAAAGGGAAGGAATTAAGATGGGAGGTGCGTACCTCAAGGCTCATTATTCATACGCAAACTGCATGATTAAAGTCCTTGTCCTGCGGGGAGGCTGGAAAGATTAAATTAGGAATAATCATAGGAAGAGAGGGGGGAAAAAGAAACTTGGAGCAATGCAGGGCTGGAGAGCAGCTCCCTCCCAGCAGGAGAGGCTGGGGGCTGATCCCATCCCCAGCCTGAGTTCCCAGCCCTGCAGCTCCAGGGGCTCTGCCGTGCGCATGTCGGGAGCGGCTGGGGAGGCCCCGGAACCAGGGACACTGTCCGCACTGAGCCCGGCTCTCCCGGGGCTGCGCGTGGCCGGAGCGCCGGGACCGGCATCGCTGGCACCGGCCGAGCGTCCTGCCCAGCCTGGCGGGTTTCGGCACCGCGTTCCGTTGTGTCCCGGCGCTCCCGCGAGGGCCGTGTCCGTGCGGAGCGCGGCTGCCCCGGCTCCATCCCAGCCCTGGGCTTCTCGTCACCGCAGCGGCTTTAACGGGGCTGGAGGGAGGCCCTGCTAGATCCCAGTGGAACAGGGAGTGCAAACGAAAACCTTCCCGTTGGATTCTCCGTCCCATGGGGTTCTGCTCCGCACGGCCCCGGTGACCCGGCTGCAGGACCTGGCCCGGCTGCACTGAGTGTTGCCTGCTATAAAGGGACCCAGGAGCTGTGCGTATGCACACAAAACCGAAATCATGGGCAAAGAAAGGCAATTCAGTTTTGACATCCTTAGCTGAAAGGAATCATGTTCTGAATCTATCCTGCAAGGGCCATTTAACTGCGTTTGAATCAGCCTCACTAATTACGGAGCTGTCTGCTTAAATTAATTCCCCACCCGCCTTCCTGGGCATCTTGTTTGCGACTCCATGGGAGTTTTTTATTGTCGTTTCAGCCCGCTCCATGTGAGGGAGGCACCGGGACGGCCGCGGGGCCGCCCCGCAACGGGATCCGCTCGGCACCATCCCCCTGCTCTTATCAAAGACAGTCGGGGATCGCGCTGGCCCAGACCTATTTTCAATTTGCTTTTCGTGGCGCTCAGATGTGTAAAGGATGTCGTTTGGGGGTTGTTCTCTTCGTGACTGCGTCATGAGCGAGCCGCTTAGCAGAGCGCTGGGCATGGGGACGGCATCATCCCGCGCTGCCCTCCTGCCCCTCTCCTTTCCCTCCCCTTTTCCTGCCCTTCCTGGACTTCAGCAGTCCCGAGCTGCTGGAATTCCTGTTGCTCCTCCTGGAGCTGCAGCCGGGCGCGGAGGTGGAAGCAGCGGAGCCGAGAGGCCTCTCCCGCCCACGCGCCGGCTCTCACTTTCTCCCCCTTCCCGTTTTTTTTTCCTGGAAATAGCAGCTCCCGGGGACGGCGGTGGTTGTGCAGGTCAGTCCCAGGCATGGAAGGGGCAGAGGAGGCTGCACCGTGTCCCTGCACCCACAGTCTGAGCAGGGCTTACATCCCTGGAGGTTGCTCTTCTTGGGGGGCTTTAGGCATTAGCAGAGGTTACTGCATTCTGGAATTCCTGGCCTTGCTTCTCGGCCTTGGGTCCTGCGTTCCCAACTTAACACTTTATACTTAGTTGCCTCTAGGAACACCAAAGGAAAAGCAGTAACAGCTTGATCTGTCACTGCCAGTGATTGTGACTCATTTGAAATCCCTATTTTAGTTCCTTTCTTTGTTAGTGTTGCTACCTTAATGTTGTCCAAATGGCTCAACTCCCAAAAGATGGTGCATTTAATAGCTATTAAATGTTCTGAGGGTTCGGAGAAAGAATAACAAATTAAAGAGTCACCTAAAAGCAGCAAAATAGAATGTTCACAGAAATTTTGCCACTTGTTAGAATTGCTTATTAGCTTGGTTTGCACTTTGGGTCTGTCGGTCACTTCTGCAGGACGCCAAAGTGCGGATACTCGCAGCGAGTGACAACGCGATACCAGCGTCAGTAAGAGACACCGAGAGACTTGCTGCTCCTCCAAGGTGCCAGTCCTTGAGCTTCATCGTAATGCTTAGATGTTTAATAATCTTGTAGAATACGTAAAACCTCGAGTATAAGGAAGAATATTCATCTTTAAAATGGCAACAAAAATAGTCAAACAGATCTAAACAAGTGTGTTTTTGTAGTATTTGAGCTCAGGCACTGCAAACATCTCATCTTCCATGTGGCCTTCCCAAGCAGCTTGCATCCAGGGCTGAGGAGGTTAGCAATTTGACTGTGACTTATTTAACTGTTTTTAAACTCTTTAGTTTTCTCCCACTTTTGCTGTACGAGCCCTGGCGAACTTCACAAAGGAAGATGAGGTGGAGAATGTTCCACGCAGGGCGTTTTGGAGCCCTTCTCGATGCTTGCTCAGCTCCCGGAGCGATGATAGGAGTTATGAGGAATTTCCTCACATAAAATGAAGGAGTTGCAGCTGACGGATTGACACGTGTTTGGGGTTTTGTTTCTTTTTCCCGTTTTAGGTGTGAGTTTCAACAGTGTTTACACGCAGATTTGGCGAGTGCTCCTTCACTTAGCTGCTGACCCCTACCCCGACGTCTCGGACCTGGCTATGAAAGTGCTCAATAGCATCGCCTACAAGGTAGGTCCCTCTCTGTCCCTGCTGGGCTCCGAGCCTGTTGTGTGTTCGTGTCTCGTGCGAGGCGGAGGTTCAGCCAGCCTGAACCTTTTGCAGAAGTAACCTTAGATTCTCCGAGGTGATAAACGCTCATATGAATCTTGATCAGGTTAAAATAAAGAAAGGGGGGAGGGCTTGGGGCTCTTTAAGGGCAGAAATTAGGCACAGTCCTTAAACACTCGGTCTTGTTTAGAAGTCTACTTGTCTAGATCAGTCCCTGGGAGAAACCTTAAATATACCTCATTAAATTATCCGTTTGCAAACTGATCTAGATTATGCAAGTGGGACTGGCCTGCAGACTGAAGCCACAACGGCTCTCCAATCCAGGTGAACTAGTACATGTGAGTCAGCATGCAGACACCCCTCACCTCTCCAATCCAGGCCTAAAGCACCATCCTCATCACATCCCATCCTCCAAGGATGACAAGATGTCCTTGGAGGCTGCCATCACTGCTGATCCAGAATTGCCAGCTTGGGGAGCTGTAGAAGCACCCGCACCTTCCACCCGGAGCGAAGCACCAGGCCACCCCAGAACATCTTCTCACCAGCTGCCTTTCCCCCTCTGCCCCAGCCGGTGGTATCAGAAAGCTGATTGAGCGCAGCCCTTCCCTCCTGCTTGGGTTTCCACCTTTCTAGTTGCTCTAGCATCAAGATCATGAGCCATCCCAATGCAAGATGACGTCTCTTACTGGTGATTCGCAATGAGTAACCCTAAATCTTTGCACTTAGGCTTCTAAGCTAAAGTTGCAGTAAGAGATGCCAGCATTGTGCACTACCATTTTAATGTGTTAGAGATTTCTTGCTTTTAAATATGTTTTTCTCTTAAGAAAATAGCTCCTCATTTAAACTCTTGTATTTTTTTAAGTATACATGTGAGCTAGGTGGTAAAGTCTGGTCTTTGGGATATTAATTGTGGCAGGTGTGGGCAACGAGATGAGCTTTTCTCTAATGATAGAGGTACATAACAAATGACTATGTCAGGGTGGAAGTTCCAGGCTAAGGTGAAAAAAGAAAAGGAAATGTTAGAAGATTCTGCTCTATCTGCTCTAGATACATGAAGCTGCCTCAGTGTTGTATTTTGGATGGCTGTTTGCGAAATAGTCTTAGCTCTACTGTGGGATTAAAACAGATGTAAAGAGGACCTGGATCTGCTTTTTCTCTCTTAACTGGTTTTTCAGGGCTTTTTCCCTTGCTAGTGAACAAGAGATGCATAAATATTAATAAAGATGCGGTTGTGCCCTGCAGATGTCTTCGCTAGCGCTGCCGTGGTTCTGCTTAGCCAGCAGGAGCCAGGGAATTCTGATCATTATGTTGTGCTGTCTGTAGTGAGTGCTAGGGCTGCCTGGTTACGTTCCCTGTTGATCTGGAGATGTTTTGACCTCAATGTTCTGGTCCTGAACGGAGGGCAAACGTGGAGGTGGGCGGACATGGGGCATTGCTCTGCTCCTCGACAGCCTGTTCCTGGCTCTCCACGGCAAGGACTTTTCAGGTGCTTTTGGAAAAATAATAGATGAAGCTTTCCCATTTACAGAGTGGTTCTTTTGATTGTTTGTGTTGTAAAAACTGGGGCTGTTCGGTGCGCACGGCCGCTTTGCTGTCCTCTGCCCCAGCACTTTTGGGGGGAGCCTCGAGGTGCCCCACGGCACAGGGCTGCGTCACCGCTGGCCTTGGTGGCCTTCGGCAGCGATTTCCATTCGCAGGATCCCACCAGGAGCCCCCTGCAGTTCCAGGTTAGCTCTGCCCATCGGTCGCCTCCGGACACGGCTCCGTGAGCAGCGCGGCCGGGATGCCCAGCCCGGGCTCCCCATCTCCATGAGCTCAGATAGATCATGGGGGCTGCCTGGCACTTCACGCCAGTTAGTGACAATTAAATTTCAACTAGTTGTAGGCTGAGGTGTTTCCCTGGTGCTGATAGAGCTTTGGGTGGATCTAAATGGGAGCAGTTGGAATGCTGGCCACGGGGCCCGCTGGCCTCGTGCACAAAGCTTGTGCAAACGATGCCTTTTGCATCCTCTTGTTCTAGGTAGTGTCGAATAAAAATGAAATTTGATTTTCTTGCAGAAAAAAATGATACTTCAGGTTAAAAAACTGAATTTCCAAGGATTTTTAATGTTTCTGGTCTAATTAGTACTATATGGAATGTTCACGGAACAAAACACTTAAGGAACCTGAGATGTCTGAAGCTTCCTCATTATCACACGAGTGTAGAAAACGGTGTGATTTGTGGGACGTTACTTTTGATTGTCATGGCCTGAGCAGATTCGCCGTGGCCTGACACTTGTGAGTGGTCTGAGTCAAGGGAATCTTCGTTTTTGGCCTCTGAATGTTGCCAAGGTCTGTGTGTAAGCGCGTGGGATTTCAAAACGTGTTTTGTACCATGTTCGTCACCCAACTCAGTTCCCTGGGCGATGTTCAGGCAACACCTTGAGTGCAGTTGGTGCGAGAGCTTTAGGAGGAGTAAATATTGCTAAGCTTTTTAATCCTCTGCCCTAATCCACTGACTGGGTCAGTACGGTGAATGTTGTTGCCCTGTGCAAGAGTTCAGATTCAGAGTCTGAATTTGCAAGGCAGGATGTGGGTTGAAGGCAGAGCATCCGAGCAAAGGTGCCGAGCTCCTTGGCTTCCTCCCGGCGCCGGGAATGTGGCTCTGTTCTGGAGGAGAGCTCCAGAGGGCTGTAAACGGGGCGCTGGCTCCTGGCAGCCGGTGAGTAGGCTGCAGGCGCGCGGGCTTCCTGCCTTGGAAACACGCAGCTTGATTTCTGAGCCTGATTAGACATCGCTGCCTCTCGTGCTGGATTACTGCTCTGGTGTGGTTTATATTTATGATACAGACTGAAGCGGGACAACTTTCCTTCCCAACCTGGACATTCGCAAATCCGACACATGCTTTTTGCCTGTATTAGAACAGAAAAGGACCTGGGAAGCAGTTGGCCCTCTTAGGATTTTGAAATCATGGTTAGTTAAGGAGAGCTTGCTTCAACCTGGGGCACCTCATCCAGCTCTCTTCAAATTTGGGGAAGACTTGAGGCTACACCGTCCTGGTAGTTACTCCTCTGCAGCACTGCTCCCTGGTGCAGGCAGCATGGTCCCTTTTTTCTAATTGGAATCAATTAGCAAAATCCTGAATCTCCTCTTGACAAAGTGCTGCTTTGGCCAGGAGAAGAGCTCCAGAAACCGGGGAGCTGCTGCCTGGACCGCGGCCTCCTCGAGGAGGCTGCATCCAGCTCGTGCTTGGCAGCTTCCCTGGGAGGAGGGCGGCGTTCCCGGCGGCATTCCCGGTGCTCGGGGTGCCGGGCCCCTTTGCAGCAGCGCCTCGCGGGGCCCGAGGCCGCCCCGTGCTCGCAGAGCGGGCGCCCGTCGGGGCAGGGATGTCCCCGGGAGCTCAGCCCCGTTCGGGCAGGGAGGAGAACGGTCGGGCGCAGCCCTCGGCTCGCGGTCGGTTTGGGGACGAGGTTTGTGCCGCCCGTAGCCAGGGCCGGGTGTGCGGCACAGGAAGGTCCCCCGGGGCAGCCCCGCGGTGCCGCTGCGCAGCGGGTCCCCGCGCTCGCGGCTGCTCAGGCCTCCGGGCCTCTCTCCCCTCCAGGCCACGGTGAACGCCCGGCCCCAGCGCATCCTGGACACGTCGTCGCTGACGCAGTCGGCGCCCGCCAGCCCCACCAACAAGGGCATGCACATCCACCAAGTGGGGTAAGCGACGTCGCGGCACCGGCCGCGCAGCCTCCCCGCGGGCCTCGGCGCTGGCGAGGAGGAGGAGGAGGCCGAGGGATCAGCAGCTGCTTGGGTCAGCCCTGCTGAAGAGCTTGAGCCTCTGCAATAACGGGGGGTTCTTCCTGCTCCCCCCCTGTAGGGCACACAGGAATGAGCCACCGTGACAGGTGAAGTGAGAGGAAAAGCCAAAAGCTGCTGCTGGAGGAAGTGGGAAGGCTTTCCCAGGGAAGGCTTCTCTCCCCATCTCCCGATAACGCCTGCCTGGTGCTCTGCCAGCCGTGCCTCAGCTTCAGGGCACTGGGAACAGTGGTGTGGGCAAAGCTGGGCTTTGAAAATCTGGTTATTCCCCAAAATGTGCTCCCCAAGAGACAGCACCAAGCTTTAAATCTTGCAGCCTTATGATAATTTTGTACCAGTAAGCATGATAGCTAAAAAAGAGGGCCCAGAACTGCATGGTGATTTAAAAAAGAAAGTGTCTTATGATGGTATTTTGTAGCTCTGCAAGATAAATCTCAGTTTGCACATAAAATAAATTGCTTTTATGCAGCCTGACAGGGCTTCACACCCCCCGCACTGAACCCGAACTGCGAGTCAGGGTGCTGAGGTCGGAGATCAGGACTGTGGGTGCAGCTGCTGCTTGTAGTTTCCCCCAGTGTTGACTTTTCTGTGATGAATCTGGCGCTAGTTTAGCCAAGAGTCGCTCTTTTATTTCTTTTTTTTAATGCGAGGGAGGTTGTTTTTGTAGATGAAACATAGCAGTGAAAAATAAACATGCAAAAAACAAACAAAGCAGAAGTAACATAACTCACATGCAGCGGCAAAGGCAGCGGAACAGGGAAAACGTGTCGGAATGGCTGAAAAGCGAGCCCACGTCCATGGCCGCTGTCACCTTCATCCCCTTCCCCTTGTTTCATCTTCAGAGGGTCACCTCCCACCACGAGTACCAGCAGCTCCAGCCTGACCAACGACGTGACGAAGCAGCCGGTCAGCCGGGACATCGCGTCTGTGAGACCTGCCAACGTGGGCAGCGTGGGCGTTCAGTACACCCCCCACTCCCACCAGTTCCCCAGGACGAGGAAGATGTTTGACAAAGGGCCAGAACAGGTACCTGCACTGTCCCTTGCAGCCTCCCCCTTCCACAGGGCTGCGTCCACCTTCTGTTCACTCTGGTTCATTTCCACCTTTGCTTTGTTTGCTTCTAGCTGCTGCTAACTCCAGTTTAGCTTCCTCTAACCAGTAAAATAAAAATTGATTTTCTTCAGGATGAAATTAATTCTATGGCTTTGATAGGACATTATTCACTTGGGCTGCTGTGAAGTGTTCAATCAGAGTTGATCATTTATCCTTCCATAAACATTTGTCTGCCTGAGTGGTAGTGCACAGTCAGATGGGTGACCCTCTGGGTGCCTTTTTCCCAACCTCAGAAAATGAAGGGCAGAGGAGAGTGAAGGGGAGATTCCTCTTCCTTTACTACAAGCAGGGATTCCTCTCCAGAGCCCGAGGGATGCTCTGGCCCTGCAATATTTACCTCTCTCACAGCAGTTGTCACCTGTCCCATGCTTAGCAGCCCCTCTCCCTGTGCACAGGGAAGTCCAGACTGTTGGTAGGAACACCAGAGCTCGTGACAAGTGACCCTACAGGGAAAGCGTAGATCGGTCACGAGCTCCTGGGACCTCTGGGACAGACCAGCAAGGGCCTTACATCCATTTGAGCTTTTTGAGGCCATTATCAGGTTCTGGGCATCTCTGCACTTCCAGCAGCAGGGGCTGGTGCAGGGCGTCCTGGAGCAGCCCTGTGCTTTGCGCAGAGGGTTCAGAGTGTCACCTTCAGGTGGCTTCCAGTATAGTTGACTCCAAGCAGCTAGCACTGAGAAGTAACTGCTCTCTGCTTAAGGCGGCCTTTCTGGTTTTGCTTAATGACACCATTGTGGGTGTTTCCAGTGGCTGAGAGTCAGTGCTTCTTTCTGTGTGATTTAGAAAAAAGCTTTTGAATCCCTCATTGGAACACCTTCATTTTCCGGGGGGGTAGCAGCAATAGCCTGACTCATATATCTGATAAATTGGATGAAAACTCATTGAATTGAGTGTTTTTTCCATTTTATTTTTGTGTCTTCCGCTTGGTAACAAATATTTAATGGTTATGTGCCCTTGACCTGAAACCTTTTCCTGCAGTACTTTATCCCAGAGCATCTTCCCTGCTCCACTGTTTCTCGGGCAGATTCTTGGGAGCGCATGAGAAAGCTCATCCTGGGGTTTCATGTTTATGATAAACTAATGCTTCAGCCCTAGTTCATTCGGTACCCTGAGAATGCCAGGTGCCATGCAGGGGGTAGTCTGTGCCGTTCCCAATGAGACCAGGTAACACAGTGTAATAGCGGTGATCTTAGACATGCAAAATTTCATATCCCGGGCAATATTTTTCAGCCTTTTTTCTGCCCAGGGATGTGTTACAGCAGTCAGGGCGCTGCGTATGCCCGCTGTCCGTGCGAGCGGGCTGAACACAGCTTAACACCCTGTGCTCTTTCTGGACAGACGACTGATGATGCCGATGACGCCGTCGGACACAAAAGCTTCATTTCGGCCACGGTGCAGACGGGTTTCTGTGACTGGAGTGCGAAGTATTTTGCTCAGCCTGTGATGAAGGTAATTTTGTTCCCTCTCTGCCTGTGCTCTGAGCTGCAGCTCTCAGCACGCCGGTGGGTGTCCTGGCTGCAGGCGAGCGCCTTTCCCTTCGCATCCTTTCCAGTCTGGGAAGACCAGGAAAGGAATTTATTTGCATCATCCTGCTCTGCTGGGCTGCAGAATCATTGTGCTTCTGTAAAGCAAGAGCACAGAAATCATCCATGGGAGCAAGAGAGTTAGTGGCTGAAGGGACTGTGGTGTATGATTAGGGAATAAAAAAAAACCAAAAGACTGCCCCCCGTGGAGCACTTTCCAGGCCTCTTGTACAGACCCCTTTACCTGCGAAAGGGGAGGATGGTGGTGATTGGAAGTCTGAATGACTGCCCAGGGAAAACATTTGAAGCATCACTGTTGTTTTTTTAAAGGAAAAAAAAAAAAGTAGTAGTATTACGGCAAAGAACACGGGCAGTAGTGACAAATCTTCATTGAGATGTCTTTAGGAGTTAGTGTGTTCCAGTAACCTCGAGTTGATTTTATGGGCGAGATGCACTAAAGCCTTATTCCTGAACAAAAAAAACAGGCCTCTTAAGAGGTGGATATAGACTGTTGATGACTGGAAACAGAAACTGTTAAATTTCTAGACTCTGAACCAAAGATGAGGTTTCAATCTCTAGTATGCAATCGAATCAAGCAGTAAATCTTGCCTTATTAAAAACAAACACAACAAGGAGGGCCTCCAGATACCTTGGGATTCAGGCAGCACGGATGTGCCAGAACTGCCAGCTTAGTTTCGTGGAGGTACTGCAGTTTATGTGAGTATGGATGCGCAGTCTGCATCGATGCTGCTCCCTGGGCGAGACCTGGGCAGATCCCGGCGTGTCCGTGTCCATTCCCAGCGCTCCCGCGGCGCCGGTCCTGGCTCGGGAGCCTCCTCTGCAGCCGCTGCATCTTCAGGTGTGCGGAGCGGTCGCAGGCTCTGTGCTGCAGTCCTCCCTTCCAGGGCTGCCACTGAGCCATCTGTCACTGTTCCTTCCTGAAACCCATCCCAGGGCACGATAATTTGTGGAGCGATGAAGTGAGATAATTGTCCTTATGTTTAAGGATATCGTAAAAGTGGTTATGTGGCAACCAGGTTTCCACATAGCTTCAGTTTCTTTAGACAGTCAGCAAGAGGAAACACTGGATGGTAAAGTGATGGACTGACCCTTCCTCAGCTGCCGATGAAATTAATTTTCTCCTCATTATCATTAGCAGAGCGATTCATTATGAAATACTTGTGACCCGTGGAGTGTGGTCATGCTCTACAGCAGGTTTTCTTGGATCAGCTGTATTTCTGTGTCTTGATTCAAGTCCAGCAGATAGTACAAGAAAAGGAGGGAATGGTGTTTTATCTCTTGGTTCTTATTAAAAACATTTATCTACCTTCTAAGGAAAGCTCTTCACGGTAAAGAGGAGTGTCTTTATTAATGTAATAAATCATGGTAGAGAGCCAATCAAAAGGGAGTTTTAGTGTGTAGATGGGGAGCAATATTATATATGTACCTATTATATATATATATATTTAAGTTTAGCACTTTGTGTGCATAAAACGCAGAATATTACTTCGGGGAAGGAAAGAAGCGAAGCATTCCTTAACTATTCAGACAAGCAGGGGAGAGAGACTCGTAGAAATGGAGACTGAGCGTTTTCCTAAACCACAGTCCCTTCCAAAGGCCTTAGTTTCTCACCATAAGAATTAAGGTGCTTTAAAACTCTGTCCAAATACGCATGGTGTGTACAGTGACCTGACTCTTCAGCTTAGGACTAAGAATAGTAGAAGATCAGTATAAGAATAGTAGCATGGATGATGATGATAAGTCTCTGTACGTGTGTTCAGGTGTGCACACTTCTGGCTGGGGCTGAGTTTTCAGAGCACAAACTCAACAATGTTTGAGGTGAAGTTTGAGTAAAACTTTACCTAAAGTGTGTGTGTTTTAATAAAGCAAGGAGGGGAACTGATTACCCCGTTACTTCTGTAAAGAAGCTTTAAGGGGTCCAGAACTGATACAGCGACAGAAGGATGGTTTAGAAGATGTCAAGGAAGGAGAGGAGGCTGCTGCAGAGCAAACCCCTGAGGAGGAGGGCTTGGAGGAGCCTGAACGGTCGCTGCTCTCCCACCCCAGAGCCATGTCCGACTCTGCAAGTAGATGTGTTGCCATGTTGAGAGGAGGCTGCTGCAGAGCAAACCCCAGAGGAGGAGCGGGCTTGGAGGAGCCTGAATGGTCACTGCTCTCCCACCCCAGAACCGTGTGTGACTCTGCAAGTAGATGTGTTGTCGTGTCCCGGGTCAGGGAGGCCCCTCTGCTCGAGCTTTCCGTGGCCTTTAGCGACTGCTCCTCAGGGCTGCCCATGGCTGCAGGCCGCTGCGGCCTGCTGGGAGCGTCGGGCTCGGAAAAACGCGGAGAGAAATCTGCCCAGTGCTGCTGGAGAGAGGTGGTGATGGTGTCTGCTTCCAGTGCTTCATCTGGAGGTGCTGCCTGTCGTCATAAACAGGGAAAGGCAGGACAACGATTCCTGTAATGAATAAACATAAAATGACTGAGTGCATCCTAGTCATATATAATTTATGAATTTAGCTTTGCTTCATGGACCTTGCTTTGCAAATGATTTGACTGGAAAGATTCAGGGATTAATTTCCAGTGCGAACCGTTGGCTCCCTTTCAAGCCATCGTGTTGAATCTGATTTATTGATTATCTAATCAAATAAACGTAGAGAGAAAATACCGCGTGGCGAGGCCTCCGCGGGCCGGAGGGACAGGCGCCTCCGGCAGCGCTCACCTCTGCAGAGGAGGCCGCTGTGGGGTCACCGAGGAGCAGGAAGGCGCGGATTCCATAAGGAATCCTTGCGGAATTCCATAAGGAATCTTGCCCCAGCGCTCCGGCGGCTCCGTGGCCTGGCAGCCCTTCAAAGCGCCAGTGGGGAAGCGAGGCCTGCCCAGGGGTCCAAAGTTGAGCAAGAAGCCCATCCCGTTCCAGGTACAGACACTTATCCATTCTTTCTTGTTTTGAGGGAGGAGAGCAGGATTTTTGCTGGGGTTCCTGCCCATCTTTCACGTTTATCATGCTCAAGCCACATAGCTGGAGTGCAAATGCAGACATGGATATTGAAACAAACAGAATTCCTTGCAGGAAAATATAAGCAGGGCCTTTTTCTTCCTTTATCACTTGATTTCCTCAGCCATACGTTGAATCTCATTAATGCACTGGGGGATTAATATAATCTACTTTTAGTCTGCAGTAGTGAAATAACTGGTTTCCTCCTTCCTATACTTTGCTTTGACTTGCCATGGGTTCTCCCTGCCTATGTGCAGGCAGAGCATCCGCTGCCGAACACAGATTCAACTTGGAATCATCAGCAAGCAGTTTCCTGCTGTTCACCGGCCTGGTCCGTGTAGGTCTTTATGCACCTGCTTCCAGGGTGCTGCCTGGTCCGAATTTCATCTGCACATAGAGCTCGTATCTGAAGAGGTAGAGAAATGGTCCATCATTGTCAGTACTGGCCTGGATGGGAGAGGAGAGCTTTTAGTAGTGGGCAGTAATAGTGTCTTAACCTCTGTCTAGGGAAGCTGTAATCATTTTAATTCCTTGTTCAAGCATCGCTAGATGGATGCAGATCTCAAGAATGCAGCAGAATGCTACACTTGGAAGGATAGTAAATGTGCTGCAGAGATGGTACACAAGAGGAGGAGGAGGTTTAAGTGAGGAGAGAGGTTTTGTAATAGGTCTGTGAATATTTACAAGCAATGAGAGGCGACACCAAATCGAAAGAAGCATGAAGGAAAGCTCGAGTGGCCTTGTATCACCAGGAACTGCTGCATGCGCAGGGAGCCTGGAGTGGAGGAGAGTGGAGGCAGCAGCGCCTGCAGCCTGCATTGCACAGCCTTGGTGACCAAGGGACACAGCCCCAAGGGACATCATCATGGGAGGAATTTTCATTGCTGAAATTAAATGATGAAAAGCCTTGCTGCATGAGAGCCTTGCAAGAATTAAGTTCTGCAGCACAACTGCTCCTTTATCTGATGTTGTGTATCTGCTAGGAAGTAGAAAAAATCATTGCTCAGCTGCATATCCTAAACTGAGAAAGCTGCTGGTGGCTGTGGAGGAATGTTCCCTCTGCTCGTGCTCTTCTCTCCTGGCCATTTAGGTCCTACTCTAATTTATTCCCAGAGAAGCTGGATTTTCATTAAGGTGTGGATGTAACCTCTCTACTTTCAAATCCCTGTTGCTATATTTTATCTTCGGTTTGTTTATCACTTTATATTATTGGTCATTTATCATTTCCTTTCAAATAGATCTTGTGTTCTTGAAAAATTAAAGTAGTAAAGTAGTGGGCATATTTTTTTCCTTGGGGCTGCAGGAGGAAGGGTGGCTTTTTTAATTTGTCATTTATTTTAAAAGCAGCAGCAATTCAACTGGATAATAGTTGTTTTCCAAAGCGTGGTGGGTTTGGAAGGCGGCACCTGTAACAACAGCAGATGATTTAAGGTGCCAATACGTGGGACCTTTGCTGGCCCTTGGGCTGCGCCTTCGCTTCCTGCCTCCGCAGGAGCTGCTGCTGGATCAGCCCCTCGGGAGAGTCCGCGGCTCCGGAGCCCCGGGCTGCACATTCCCGGGAGCAGAGCGGGACGGGGCGGCCCACGGGGCTCCTCTCCCTGCTCCTGGCACCAGAACAGGGCGCCGCAATAGCCTTTTCTTGCAGCTGCAAAATTCCGCTGTGACAAAGCAAAGCTGTGGCCTCGCCGGCAAATGCAGCCCGGGAAGTGTGAGCATCTTAGGAGGCTCTGCCTCTCGTGGCCTGCGTCATCTATTAGCAGTGAAAGGAGGATTTTAGTGTGTGGTTTTAGCTCTCTAACTGTATCAAACCAGTGCTCTCTAATCTCTGATTGCTCCATGATGCTTTTCAGCTGAGACACGTTAGGCAGAGTAATCTGTGCGGCATTGAAGTGGGAGTTAAACTGTTTATAGAGCAAAGCAGTTATAAACGACTGTGTGCAATAAAACCGGTTCCTTAACTGCCCATTTCGTGTGTCACTCACCCAGAATGACACATGACAAATGTATGTGGCGCTCTAAAAAAACAAATGTCTTTCATGATATAGAACTGTCTGTAGCTTAAAGGCAAAGCAAAATTTAGAACAGCAAAAGGAAAAGGGAAGAGATTACAGATGATGGGGCTGTTTAGATCAGAGAAATGCTCAAGTATAAAAAATGTAAGTCCCATGGGCACCTGAGCTGCCTGGAGCTGGTGGCGCTCGGGACGTTTTAGCGCAGCCCGTGCTCGTGACGTGGTGCTTGCGCGTTTTGCGGGGGGAGTCGGCGGCGTTTTGATTGCTCCTCTTGTTCTGTGTTGCAAATCTGTTGCTGCGCTGCAAGATCCCCGAAGAGCACGATTTGGAGAGCCAGATCCGCAAGGAGCGGGAGTGGCGGTTCCTGCGCAACGCCCGGGTGCGCAAGCAGGCGCAGAAGATCATCCAGAAGGGTGAGTGGCCCCGCGGGCTCCTGCTCTGGGCGTCCTCCAGGCCGTGCTGCAAACGCGCCCGTGCCGGCGAGCCCGGGGCTCCTGCTCTCCGTGCAGCTGAGGCCGGCAGGGCTCGTTGCTGTAATGAGTTTTTCTAGTGCTCACCCCTCTATCCACACAATTGTTTTGTACACAGGCCCAGGGACTAGTTCAGAAGCCAGAGGTCCCTTCCCCTTTGAAAACTTAAGCGTGAGGCTGTGCATGACATGGCATGGTCAAGCACAGCAGGACACTGTCCTCTCAACTCCATCGCAGGAGGGGAGAAGTGTAAGAGAAATCCCTTGAAAACGGAGAGGTGCCATAAAAACAGATTTCTCCACCCAGGAGACCCAACAAAGCCTTCAACTGGCAGGGCCTGGTCCTTTCCCGAGCCCTGCCCAGGCAGGCCAGGAGTTCCAAGAGTCCTGAGCTAATACTGTTGATTTGCCCTTTTGCCTCTTCCTCCCTGTCATGTGAACTTCTGATGGGTATTGTAGCTTCTGCTTCTAAAGGGAAAGAAGGTAAAATATTGCAGGAAAACTCCAAACCTGTGGCTGGAAAGGCCCAGGCAGTGTCTGACATGTCGTGGCAAGGAAGCGGTGCTGCTGGCCTGATGGATTGTTGTGTTCCTGAGGCTCAGCAGGCATCTGCATGACTCCTCTGAGCTCGGTAAATGATAGTTTGCTTTTCATATCCCATTATATTTTTAATATTTATATATGTATGGCTCTGTGCACGCTTCTACATTCGCCTCTAATACGCCTGAGGTTCCTGAGTCTTTACTGTGTGTATTCTGCATTCTTCTGAAAGCTAATCTTGCTTATTTATAACTCTTTATGCATTTACAAGGCAGCAGTTGGGCTAGAATTCTTTTAACACGGGAATCTATTCAAATTGGGTGCAGCCCAGCGCGGTGCCCTCTGGAATTTGCATAGCTAAATTATTGCAGCTCGTGTTCCCAGCCCCGCGGAGCCTGGCGAGGGCAGCTCGGCGAGTCCTCCCCGGGGACGTTGGCTCCGGATGCCCCTTGGAGCACTCCGGAATACTGATGTGCCGGAGGCTCCGGGTGACACGGGGTAGCCCAGTGTCATAACCTGCACAGGCCCGTAAACTAGAGCAACATAGGAGGTCAACTGGAGCCCAGGGAATGGCTCAAGGGGATCTTTCACGCTCACCTGAAGGAATCAAATCATTTTCTGGACAGCGTTCGCATGTGGTTGCTTGACCTGCGTGTAAAATGCCAATATTCATAAAAATGAGATCAAAATCTGAAATATTAACAAGAATTAAAATAGATTCAAAATGCTGTAATTAAAATTAAATGGATGTATTCCAAAACAAACCAGAACTGAGTAAACATCTCCTGAGTTTACAGTTTGGGGTGATGAATTCATACTTTGCCAAAAAACGCAGTTTCGGGGATACCAGAACTGCTTGTGAAGAGCAAACTGTTGCAAAGAAATAAGTGAAATGGAAGGTTAAATAAATAATCCACAGCTAACATGAAATATTGAATTTTATGTTGAATACAGTCTTTTCATTTTTGTTCTATTTTGCAAAATAAATAAACCAACGAAGCTGATTTTGTCAAAACAAAACGTTTCCTTGGACTTGGTAGGGCGTTTCGCTGCGCTGGGATTCACTCGGGCTCTGATCCCTGCCTTTCTCTCCCCCCCGCAGGCATCTCTCGCCTTGACGACCAGATCTTCCTCAACAGGAACCCGGGGGTGCCCTCGGTGGTGAAGTTCCACCCCTTCACGCCCTGCATCGCGGTGGCCGACAAGGACAGCATCTGGTAAGGGGTCCCCTCTGGCCTGCCGCGTGCCACGGGTGGGAGGATGGCAGAGAACGGCCCTCGTGGAGCAGCTGCTTTCTGGGGAAGGATCCGTGTTCCCCTCCTTGTTCTTGCCCGCGCCCCTCGGCCGTCATCTCCCCCTTTCCGTGCAGGAGCTGGGACGTGGTCTGCCTAAGTTCAATGCCATAGTCCAGGCATCAAGTCTCTAGGTACAAGAGGCGCTGGATTAGAGGGTATCCAGTGAATTTTGATGGACCTGTAGTAGTTTATTGTGGATGGGGTTCATAAACTCATTATGTCAATACCAAAGAAGAAAGACAAACGAAATTGGTACCCAATGCATAACATTTAGTGTCACTGTGATGGGCAGTTCTTACAGCTTGTCTAGAGAACCAGGAGCTGACCTGATGTTTTTTCCTCACGCAGTTTTTGGGACTGGGAGAAAGGGGAAAAGTTGGACTACTTCCACAATGGGAATCCTCGCTACACCAGGATCACGGCGATGGAGTACCTGAACGGACAGGACTGCTCCTTGCTGCTGACGGCCACAGGTAGGCAGCGCATTTCCCGTGTGATTTTGGGACGGAACCAGGGCCCTTCACAGAAGTCAAGTCTGGGTGAGCTGCTCTGGGCCTCGCACTCAGCCTGCTGTGGATGTGGCCCAGTCTGGCCCTTTTCCCTCCTTGGCAACTTGCCTGAGTGATGTCCATGGAGGAGACCCTTGTGGAATCACACCTGGGAGTTGTGTTGGGCAGTACTGGTTGACCTTAACTATTTAAGTAAGTGCTGCAGATGTTCCCAAATTTTGATCAAATGACGTGTTTACTGAAAGATTTTTCAATCACAGCTTCTTTTGTTACATCATTTTGAGTCTTCACACTGCAAATTCCTGGTAACCTACTCCTATGCAACATTTCAGGCAATTTGATTTTAGCTAGTCCTGTTTTAAAAGCCGCTGCCCAGAGCTGAAAAGGAAATCTTGCTGCAACATAAGAAATCAAATTCTGTTTCCTGTGCTGTTTTAGCCTAAAGTAGGTAGGGCTTATTTTAAGCCCTGAATTTCTCCAGTAGTTCTGATTTCTGTGTTTAGTCCCTCCATCTCGCCAAGGCGCAGCAGGTCTCTAGAATGCTCTGCTGCATCCTGTAAGGTAGCATGAAGAGCTCTCAATCCCATTCAGTGGTCTCGGAAGCTGCCAGTAGGATTTGCTTCTTTCCCAAGGAACCATTCTCAACCTGCCGGGCTGAGTGTTTTCAATTACTTTTCAAACTTCGTGATGAAACGTTCAGGTTGGGTATAATTAAGACAGGTGGAGGAAGAATAGAGAGGGCCTCTAGGACATTTTTCTTTCAATTTATTGATTCTTGGCACAAAAGTTTCACAGTTGGGGAACAAATTGAAAAAATACATGATGTTCTTGAAAGATTTGCTGCTGATGGGCTGGGACCTTTGATTCGGCTTCTTCTGTAGGATTGTGTTTTGTATTTAGCAGGGTACTTTTGTGGCTCTTAGTAGCAATAGCAAGGAAGATGGAGAGATAAGTCTTAGAGAAAATGAATTGGTCAAATGAGATGGAGCGACATTTAATGTCAGGTGTTGTTCAAGGAGAGGAGCGTAGCTCTTCCAGGGACGTTCTCAGTGGAACAGTCCTTCAGGTAATACGGATGTAAGAGTAGAGCGAAAAACAACTCTAACAGAGATTAAGTCAAGAGACTCTTTTAGAGTTTTCATGACAGTGGTTCCTCTTCTCCCCATCCTTTGCACAAGTAACTGAGAGTCACATCGGCAGTGACATTGCCTTGTGTTCTGTTTTCTGTGCTCCCCGAGATGACGGCGCTATCCGAGTGTGGAAGAACTTTGCAGACCTGGAAAAGAATCCCGAGATGGTAACTGCCTGGCAGGGCCTCTCAGACATGCTGCCGACGACACGAGGTGGGTCCCGCCGGGCTGCCGCGTCGGGGATGCACGGCGTTTGTGGTGGTGGGGTTTTTTCTAGGCATGAGCAGAGCACAGTGGGTTTCTCCACTTTGGCCATCAGTTACATCCTTGTTTAACAGTCTCTGCCTTTCTGGAGTGGCCTCTCACCACGCCTGGTGAGGCATTCCTTCTCCAGGTCTCACAAAAGCAAACCAGCAAACCCCCAAACCCAACCCAGCACCTTCCCCCACCACACACACAAGAACAACTGCAGCAGCATCTCGCTGGGCAGCAGAGGGGCCCAGATCCTTGTTCTTCCAAGGTTCTCTGCAGCTGTCCTGGCCAAGCCCTCCTATTGCTCTGGTTTCTAAGGAGAGAACTGTGGAACAACGGTGGAACTGAGCACCTCCCTGCCCTGCGCTCGCCGGGCGGGCGGTTGTTTCTTCCCTCTGGGTATGGGAGTAGCTCACGTACTTGCTCTTTCCTCCTGACGGGCTGCTCAGCCTTTGCACAGCTTTGCATGTTGCACCTGTGATCTCATTCAGCCTGAATTCAATTTTAGCACTTGCTCTTTGCTGTTTATTGTGGGTCAGGAGGTGGCAGGAGAATATGCAGTTTGAATCTGATCCCTGCAGAAGGACAGTGCAGTTGGACATTGACCCGCTCTGAGTGTTAAAAAGTAATACAGGCAAAGATGTAAAAAGGAGCACTGACATCCAGCAATATGCAGGTCGAAACCAAAATACCCATTTGGGTAACCCTGAAGTCTGTTTTTTGGGTGTTGAAGGAGGTGGACATTTTGTCCTTCCGAGACCTGATGAAATGTACTAATGCTCTAATGATGATTCTCTGTCACTTCGATATTTTTAATCAAGGCTACAGGTCTTTCTGCAAGATGTGCTGTATTCAATCAGTGCTGATGTTACGGGTTTGATGTAGGAATTGCTGGGTGAGGATGTCTGGCTTGTGCTATGCAGGAGGTCAGATGAGATGATCAACATAATTCATCCTGACCTTAAAATCTGACAGTTCTCATTTCTGAGCTTCTGTGGTTCATCACAGGAGTCTGACACAGCTACTTCAGCTATTCATTGGATTTTACCTGTGCTGCCTTGTTGAACTCATTTCCTCAACACCTCATGGCTCATCTCTGGTGTTTTAGGAAAGAAGTGTATTTGCTGGAACTTTGGGCTCTGTGCCTCGCAGTCTTACATGCACATAATTGATTATTAACTGCTGGAAGTTTGCAGCGTACTGTGAAAATTGCCATGGTCAAAACCTGCCTTTTGCAGAGGTGTCAATAAAGCAGGAGGAAAACAGTTGTAATGCACTGAGTGGTGAGGCCTGAATCTCCTTAGGAGAAAAGTAGCCAGCAGTGAGCTCAAGCTGTTACCCGCAGTGCTGCTTCTTTGTCAGCATCAGCTTCCCTGGAAGGTGCTGGTTAACATTCCCCATCTCTGGATCCAGGATCTAGTCTCCTCGGTGCTGACAGCCCTGCTCGAGGGGTCGGGAGCTCCACGGGGCACTGGGTTTTCCCGGCCCCGCGCTCGGAAAGGTGCCGGCAGCTCCGGAGCGGCCTCCTTGCAGCTCCCGCTGCCCGCGGTGGTCACCCTGCGCCGGTGCAGCCGCTGCGGCCTTCGGTGCACGGAAAGGAGCATTGAACAGCAGGAAGGTTTGCCCCTGCCAAACAGGTCAAGAGCTGAGGCAAGGGCTCATGTAGGAGTTGAATGGTTACCAAATCAGCAGTGCTCCAAGTTTTAGATCCGTTCTCTTCGAGATTTTTTCACTCTCTTTTCACTGTGATCTTAAGCCTGGGTCCTGTTTTCTTTGCCTTTCACCTTTGGCGCGCTGAGTTAGATGCGGAGGGAACGGTTATGTTTCCTTGTGGGGAGAGAAGTAAAGGCAGTCACTTCAGCAGAGCGGTGTGAAGGGAGTCCCCTCGGAAGGGAGGCTCTCGTGAAGGGTTGTCCTGTGCCACCAGGGCCACCACCGTGGTCCAGCACTAGCCCTCAACACTGAGGATGTGTCTTTGAAGCTGGCTGCGCTCCGGAGTTTTCCTGGAGTTTGTTCACTCCTGCTATTGATTTTCCTCCCTCCCCTGCCATCCTTTTCCCCAGTGTCCTGCTCTTTTCTTTTATTTGACAATCTTCTCGACAGCAACAAAAATACCAATTTTTCTAGGGGTTGTTCCTCTAGTGAAAGGAGGAAGGGCTATGCGATACAGAAACACATCCTTTGGCATCTTGGGAGGCCCTTCTAGGTTGTCCAAGGAGCAGGAGGCTGCTCCGAGAGGGCGACCAAGGCAGACGGAGGAGCTGGACGTGAACTTTTCCTTTATGTCCCAGCTCACACCGTGTAGCCCAGGTTAGGAATGCGCTGGCCACAGAGCTCGTGTGTTCAACCCGTGTGCGAGGGCTGTTGCTCGGAGGTCGCCTGCTCCCAGGTAACTAAACCCCTTCCTTGGCTTCAGAGATGAGTCTTAGCTCAGTGCTGCCCTGGGTGGACCCTCCATTTTTTTCAATGTAAAATCTGTTAATTTCGATCTTGTTCAGATCTTTTTTAGATCTGTTCTCAGTCAGCCCATGCTGCACTGAGAAAGTCTCTCCAATTAAAACCAGGGTGTTTAAAGAAGCGGCGGTGCCAGGTGCTCTGGTGTGACGGAACCAGGAACACGAGGAAGCAGGAATCCCCACTGCAGAGAGGGCCTGAGAACAGGCAGAGCTCACGGTGCTGCCAGCCCCGTGTCTGCTGGCCGCTGCCCCTGACAACATGTGCTCGTGCACGGGCTTCTGAACCCAACTGCCACTTCTGTACTGTCCCCGAGGGAAATAAACCAGCTGCCACATCCCAGTCGGAGGGATTCTGCTCTTTAAAGCCTGACAGCACTGAAATTTGGAGGAATGCAGAGATGTCAGTAGCTGCTTCAGACTTACCTGCCTGCCTAGATTCCCTTCCCAGCTCCCTCCATGGGCTGTTTGCCTGGGTCTCAGTGATTTCCTCTGTCCAGGGTAGCGGAGGAGCCAGGGGACCACCTGTACAGCAGGGCCAGGGAAAGGCAGGCAGAGCAGCAGGATCTCCTGCTCCTGCAGATGCCTGGGCAAGGTTTTCCAGCATTCCCAAGAGCCACGTGGCACTTCCCTGTTTTCTGCCATGCCGCAGTGCTCTCGTGGGTTTGCGGTGGCCAGAAACGAATGTGTTTTGGTGGCTGCGCTGTCACGTAGGAGCTGGCTGAATGGAGCACCTACCAACTGCTGCAGCCCTGCGTGCTCACGAGCTGCTCCCGAAGCCCGGGGCGGAGGAGCCCGCGCTGCCTTCCGTGGCAGCAGCGTCGCGCCGGGCCTTGGATCGATGTGTGCAGATGCCACGTGGTGTTCGGGGTGCCACCCGTCACTGCCCCATGCACTGCACTTCAGGGACCAGCTCGGACGAGGGACGGTCTCCTGGCTGGAGAAAATGTAATGGTCAAAACTGCTGCTGACAGCCAGCCGGAAAACCCGCTTTGCCTGTGGCAAGTGCCGCTGTCGAAGGCTTCCTAGGAAAAGGGTCGGTGTTTCCACCAGTGCCTTTTCTCTGGACGAAGGCATGTGCTGCTCTCGGTGCTGCTGCTTCTCTGTTATGTTCTTTTCCTTTGCTTTGAGTTGCTTTTTCTAATCCTTTTTTTTTTTTTTAAGATTTATTTTTGCTCTGGCTGACCAACTTACCCTTAGCGTCACCCCCTTAATCCCTGTCTTCTCACAGGTCTGGCCCGAAGGGTTTCAATCTATCTTGACAGAAGTAAGCAGGGAGGTGAGTGCCTTCTTTCCTGTTACCTATGGCCAGCCGGGGTGGGAAGGATCTCCTCGTCCGACTCCTGGTCGGTTGGTTGGTTGGTTGTTTTTTGGCGTGGTTTGAATGCCTGCTGGGGCCTTTCTGTCCCCAGAGAGCTCTGCTGCTGCTCCCTCTCCGTGCTCTCCGTTGTCCGTAGGAGCAGCGGGCCGGGCCCCGGGGATGCCCGTGTGTCCTCGCCATGAGAGCAGCCTGGGGGCTTTTCTGGGACATGCAAGTGTTCCTAGGAAGATCGTGAAGCATCCTAGACATGGAAGTGGAATGACAGGCTACGTTAGCTGCTAAGCTGATGCGTTTCCTTTGCTGCATTTCCTTTGCAATGCAGTTTTGCTGCAGAGATCCCGCGAGCAGCAGCAGCTGAGCAGCCTTTCCTGGGAGGCTTAGCAGAGCGGAGCTAGCCTTTTGGCAAGGGGCTGCCTGGCAAACGGTACGAATCCCGGCCTTCCCTATGGAAAGGAGGCCAGCGGGAGCCCCCGGGCCTTCCCGCACGGCTGCGTGCGCCCACGCAGGGGATGGCATTCCCGCATCATTCCCACATCATTCCCACTGCACGTGCAGGGAGCGAGGCCGGGGCGCTGCCCCCACGTCCACCGGCGCCTCCAGACGCTGAGATCAGCCCTGCTTGGCTGCAGGGATTCCCTGCTCGGGAGCCGGGCTCGGAGCAGCCTGGGGAAACCCCAGCCGCCCCGCGCAGGATCGATACCGCTGGCTCTAAGCAATCAGCGCGCGGCCCCACGCGCACGGATAATGCGAATCCATGGGCAGAAATCACCAGCGGCTTCTGGCCAGGCATCCACATAGCGCAGGATGCAGAAAAAGGCTCCTCTGCCTGGCCAAGGATGTGAGAAAAATGCATGAGGTTAACCACTTGCTTGACAGCAAGGCACATCCTCCATAACTGGTATAAAATGTAGTGGTTTTGTCACCAAGGGACAGGACAGGGAATTCCCTAGGGAGCTGCAGAGCTGAGCACGGGGCAGCGTCATGGCAAGGGGGCTCCCAGGAAAGGCAGAGGATTCCTTCCTGGAGAGAAAGGGAATCTCTGCACGTCTCCCAGGGATCAGGAACTGTTCCTTTGGGTGAACCACCTTAGATATGGTCACCTTTTTTAGCTGAAATAAAACAATCGGAGTTGTCTTTCCAGCGTTCGGCGTTCTTTAAATTGGATCCTCGGTTCCAGGTACTCCTTTTCCCTGGCTGTGCATGGGCCTTGGCACGGGCCAGGCGACGCTTCTTGGAGGTGTGCTGTGGCCATGAATGTGGAGTGAGGTCACCCGGCCCTCCCGCTGCTCCTTGGAAACCTCAGGAATTCCTGACAGGAAAAAATGAATCCTACCTCCTGGTGCATTGC